AATTTATTTAAATATTCACTTTTTTTAAATTAAGAAAGTGAAATTTATATGATATTCAAATTTGAATTATAAACTTTGCTTTGATGGCAAGTTTATTGACATACATTTATAATAAAGTTGTTTAAATTTTGATGTACTATGAAAGTTCTGATATGCACACTTTGACCTGTACCCTTACACACAATGATTAAAGGTAAAACTTTAACATGGACTTTTATAAAGTAATTCCAGGCTGCTGTTAAAAAAAAATATTTTTTACAAGTTTAATGTTATTATATTTAAAAGTGTTAGTTTGTTTTTGCTGATATTTTACAAGCAACTGGTATGTACTTGTCTTAATATATTCTAGTAAGGTGCTAGATGTCAATACGACCCAAGCTGTCATCCATTGTTTACTGAAAATGTCTTCATCGATAATAATTCATTTTGTATATCAGCATTTGTAGGTATATTTATGGCTTCTGTTAATAGCTATAAATGGGAGCCATTCCTGTAGCATAAGTTAAATTTTTGCTGCTTTATAAGCAAACAGAAAATCAGTTTGAAATAATTTAAGACTAAATGGATTGGTGGAGAATTTCATATTCAGGATGGACAGTTGTGATTGTGGCTTTGTCTAGAATGGAAACAATATAGAAATTCTTGCAAAAAACCAAACCTAAAAAAAATAATGAAATTTTGGACTTTTTTGTTTCATTTCGTACTGATTCACATTTTTTAAATCCATTTACACACCTGTGTAATAATTTATTCCACAAGACTACTACTACCAGTGGTGGCGTGCGTTTTGGCAAAGTTGAATGTAAAGATTTGTTTGTGAATGCTCAGAAATGTTCAGTTGGCAAAATCTTCTGCTCCTACCAATGTAAATGTGAAAAATTGCTTTATATGAGGCGAACAATTTACAAAACAAAAGTCATTTATTTTAGTAAACTTTTCTTTTTAAACGAGGTTTGCAATTTTACCAAGTAATTAAACATTTTCGGCATTCATTTTTATCATCACTGAATCAGAAACAGTATGTAATCTATATCAGGTGTAATCATTAAAGATAAACTTTGGGTAGAAAGAAAATAGTTTTTGTTATGAACTTGCTTTCTTGTAAGCACATCATGTAAATATCTAGTTTTACTATGCTAAAAACACATTTAAGATATTAACATAATTTTAGTGGTTGAATCTACTGTTTCTTGCACAAGTGTATGTAATTATTTTTTCTATTTTTGCATCCACTGAAGTGAAGTAAGTATTATTTAACATTCCTTTAATCTGCTTGTGAAGATAGGTAATTCACTTAATATAAATATTGCTAACAATTGATATATTGAACTATTTTATTCATTGCATTGCGATTTGATTTAATTGTTTTTTAACTCGACTATTACAAAAAAATTGAAATTATGAAAGCTGTGACTTTTTAGCTCACTAATTATAGTTGTTGTAGCAACATAAAAAAAAGTGAAATATATTGTACTAGATATTTTTTATGATAGAAATTTATTATTTCTGATGATTAAAAATTTGGTCAAAAACAGTTGTGGACACTAAGAGTGTGAGGGGGAAGCATTCCAAAAATTGTGGTGTACAATAAAAGAAATTTCATATAGCTCTAAAGGCCACAAATCATAAGGCTCATTTGATACAGCTAAATAAAAAAATGTTTAAAAATATATTCAAAACATTAACTTTATAATATATAATATTATGTAGATTAAGTAACTTTTATTTAAATAAGAACACACAACATTTTCATGAATTCAAAATATTTCTTTTCATTCTGCAATTAATTAGTTAACATGCATAAACCTCTTTTTATATTTTTGAACATGACTATAACAGGTTAACAAGATAAATTATGGCAAGATTTATACAATTATCCTTTCCATTACTGCCATGGATTATGAGCATCCGAAAATATTTTATTAGTTGAATATTATCAATGAAAACTGAAATATACAAAGCACCGTTAGAAGGTGTTTTATAATAACTTAAGGAATCCTAATATTATAGAATGTTGAAAACAAGTTTTTTTAGATGAGCAATCCGTTATAAAATGAAACATCTGAACCTTACATGTGTCAAAATGATATTGAACCTAAGAATGAATTTGTAATTGTTTTTCAACAATCAAAGATAGTTTTGATATGTTTAAAAATATGTGAAGTATACAATTAACATGAAGCAGATCAACAATGAAAGTTCTGAAGTTTATGTAAATCAAAAAAATGCCACCTCCAAAATTATTTTTCTACTGTCATGACCTTGGCACTCATGTTTGCACCAAAAATAATTTCAAGTGTGCCCGCCACTGATCCATAATGATATAAAAATCTTAATAAGCAATTTCTGACTCAAGAAAATATGATTATATTGAAAGGTTTTGTAGTATCCCATTAGATCTTAAAAATTGGAATCCTAAGAGTGAGGTACATGGCTGTTAAAGTGTGATCCTGGGATCATTTTGACATGCTGCATTCTTTGAACCAAGTTGTCATTAAGGTGTTTTTATCCTATTAAGGTGGACCACCCACACACACTATGGTCACATTTTACCACTTCAATCAGAAAAAAGTCTTCATATTTTCTGTTCCTTACTTGATCTTCAATTGTTCCTCTCTTTCTGCTCTCATCTTCATTTGAGGTCAAGTCATCAGATACAACTGTAATTTTACCACTCCTGTATGCAGACGTATATCTCTTTAGGCACTTGACAACACCTTCCCTGCTGAAACTTCTCTCATCTGACTTTTTTTGAGGAACTGGTGTGCCATTGCAATTTCATCTGTATCTGCTACACTTGTGACACCTCAGACATTTTGTTAATTAACATTTGCTGGTTAGTTTTGAATCTTAGTGTTCTATAGGTAATGTAATACAAGAGTGCCATGAACATTGTCTGAATTAGGGTAAAAAAATCACCAAACTATATTGACAAAAATCTATCATAACTTCTCTGGATGTTATCTCATTATAGATCAGCATACATCTATGGATTTCTCATAAAGTAATGCATATTCCAGTAGATTTTGAGGAAAAAAGTTTAAATGCTGGATATGTTTATTACAAAGTGCCCTACCATCTCTGCTCTGTTGAGTCAGAGATTGCTTGTTAGAATGTGTAAATTATTAGTTTTATTGAGTTAACAGGAACTTGCAGTGTGTTAGTATTTATAATTACTAAAATAATAATAAAACTGTTGAAGAATCTTTGGAAGTATTCTGAAAACTTAAGATTTTTTCAAATTCTAAAATAAATTGGTATGATAAACATTAGGATGTACTGAGACTGTTAAGTAAATTGGAATGATAAGTGTTGAAATGTGCTATTATTTTCTAGAAGTATATTGGAATGGTAGTGTTGAAAAATGTACTGTAATCATGTAGTATAATCAGATGAACTGAATTAACTTTAGAGCTTCACTAGATAAGTCTACTAAAAAGATTCAAACATGGAGTATTGTTGAAACTCTTACTGATTGAGTTAATGCTAAACAGATTAATGAGACCGAACAAAATGTAAAGCACAAAATAAATAATAATCTTTATTATATGCAAAACACAAATACACTACCTGCACTTGTGGTTTTTATCATGTTAGACCTTCACTTTTTCTTGGTGGCCCGGCATGGCCAGGTGGTTAGGGCACTCGACTAGTAATCTGAGGGTTGCGGGTTCGAATCCCCATGACAGTGCAGATAGCCCTCATGTAGCTTTGCACGAAACAAACCAAACCAATCTTCTTGGTGCTCTCATCTTAAGATTCTCCATTAATCATACTGACTAATATAAGGCTTCTTGGCTTCAAAGAAACCTTGCATTTACCAAGTGCAAAAGTTGTTACCATGAGAGTGGTGATTCTCAGTACATGTAGGTGGAGTTATAACATATAGATATCACTGTACAGCCATTGTAGGACACTGCTGTTTGATAGTCTTATACAAGGTCACTTTATGTAATGTTCTCCATGGTCAGTAACAGGTATTACCAACTTTGAGAATAACAAAGGATCCAAGGTAACTTGAAACAAGATCAACTTAGTGATTTTCTTGAGTATGTGTTATGTGAAACCTAACACATAATAAATTCAGAATAACATTACAAGAATATAGAAATCCATGGTATGTTCATATATCAAATTTTCCTGTCTTTCCTACCTCAGGCTTGTTCCAAGCTGACAATTAACTTTAATTTTGCTATCAATAAATTTTCTAATCTTGCTTTTTAAGAATTACATTAATCCTTTCTAGCATCCAAAATCACTTATACAGATGTCACAACACATGGATGAGGATACAAACAATGCATACAAAGGCTTGCACAAAGAAAGCATTGCATGCCCGTGAACCCTTTAAACAATGAAAAATACATTACAAAATTTAAAAAGAAAACCCTTTTAACACAGATGGAAGTACACATTGATATAAAAATAGCTCCATGGTATATTCTGCATCACAATTGTTTGGTAAATTAAAATGATAATGTTGAAATGTGCTCTAATTATTTAGTAAATTGGATTGATAAGTGTTGAAATATGCTGTGATCATTAAGTAAATTGTAATAATAAGTGTTGAAATGTGCTGTGATCATTAAGTAAATTGTAATAATAAGTGTTGAAATGTTCTGTGATCATTAAGTAAATTGTAATAATAAGTGTTGAAATGTGCTGTGATCATTAAGTAAATTGTAATAATAAGTGTTGAAATGTGCTCTGATTGTTAAGAAGTGCATGAATTTTTAAAGAACTTTCTCGAGGTTTTCATTAAAAAGTGTCATAAGTTAAGATCAAGTTATAAAAAATAAATATAAATGCACAGTGAATTGCTTGTTTGGGCAATAAATTTAACACACACACACAGTAATGTTTGACAATAAGTATAATAATTGTTTTTGTAGTTTTATACATGTGTATAAAACTAAAGACAGTCACTTACTCTGTGTTAACTATATGTATGTAGTTATTTTCTGTACCCATGATTAAGTGTTTGTTTTCTTGTCCCTCAGACTTCTGGATGTTATTCATAGTGAAAAAAAACTCTATCTGGTCTTTGAATATTTAAATCAGGATCTGAAGAAGTTAATGGACAGTGCACCAACTTCAGGGTTGCCTCTGCCTTTAGTGAAGGTAATGTGATTTTTTTGGTGCCTATAACTTTCTTTGTTTCCTTTTTTTCTTCTTTTTTTTAAATGTTAGAAGTATCAACTTGATTAAAAGGCAATGTGTAGTGTATTTTTGTTGACATTCTTTTTTTTATAATAAAATGTTTAAAAATGTTGAAAACAAGTGGTAAGTCATCTTTTTGTAAAACATATTATGAATTATAAATTTTCAAAATTTAACGTAAACAGCAAACTCTACATTGCGTATATTTATATAAAACATATTTCCTTTGGAAAGTTTTATATATATGTCTATTTTAATGTAACTGATATTGTGTACACTTGTCAGCATGTCTGAAGAGTTAATTTGAATGTAGCCATTTGTTTCAGGTAGACATGTATCCCTTGCTGTGTATAAACCATCCTAAACTTTATGGCCATTATTAATTAGATATATCGTGTGATTGAATATTGTTTTAAGCAAAGTTCACAAAAGCTCAAATAACAAAATATTTAATCTTTGTTGTCAGTTAATATTCAAATGGCTCACACAAATACTAACCACGGCCTCTTAAAGAAAATTTTGTACCAACGTGATATAGTTTTATTAGGCACTCTAATGGAAAATGTAGTATAAATGCCTACAGTAAAATTTATTCATGTTATTCCTAAAAATTTTAATTTAAAATGAACTCTCAGATATTCCTTAAATTGGTCAGTGATTGAAAATTTTTGTACCGATTAAAATTGAGATACATGTTATATTCACTTACATGATTGCCAGAGCTTTCAAATACTTTATTATTTCCTTACAACTTTGATCCATATTGTCAATTCATACAGTCATCAACTACATTAGTGATGTGATGGCTATAAAAATAGTCTTCATTAATTGTACAGAGTAGTGAATATTCCTTCTATAACTTGAGAAAAGTTTGTTTGTTCTTTAACTCCTCCTAGGCTTTTGCATTTGGACTTTTAAAATGTGATTTAGTCAACTAGGAATGATTTGAAATGTGTCAAGAAAAATCTATTTTTTCTTTTAAAATGCATAGATCTCATAGCTCCAGTGCTGGTTAAATATAGATGAATCAGTGGAGGTGGCCACTAGGGGTACTGGTGGGATTTCTCCAGTTTCCTTTTCATTACATGGGGTATACATACAGTCTATGTACGTTCAATCATTACTGGCATATTTAGGATAAATACAGAAACACTATATACATTCATAACTGATAAAACACTAATTTTACAATTGCATTTCATTTTCAAATTGCATCAATTGTTTGAGGAATTTCTTTTTTTTACACATTAAATAATTGGCAAACTGTTAACAAAGCAAAATTGATGAATTTTGGAGATTTCCATAATTCCTTTAATTAATTGTTATGCATTGTTATGTCAGAGCTAGAAAATGGCTGTGAACAAGAATTGCGAGTGTGCAAAAGGTGGGGAAGGGAAAGCGTATTGTACCAAAAGCATTATTTCCATTCAACAGAATTTGCTCCCATTATATTGGTGAGCAGGCTGAACATTAATATCAACATCAGTATTCTTTTTCTGTGTAATTGTTACACTGATATTTCACGTCAAATCATCAACCTGTTAGGCCTAGGGTCGAGTGGAGTTTACAAGATGTGATGACATTATCATGTTTCTGGTTGTATCATAAGCTGACACAAAGATTGTCAGAAAAGGAATTTAGTAAGTATACTCCATTGTCAAGAAGAAATATAGAAGACATGGGAAAAAAGAAAAATTTATGTTAAACAATCTCATAATAGTGTTTTTAACAATGAACATGGATACTGAATAACTGAGGTACCATTTTTATTAGCATGTGTTATTCAGTTTCTATAACTTTCTTTCTCTACTATAAAAATTAATGTTGCTAATAATATTTTAACAAATTTGTTTTTCAGTTGTAAGTTAAAGTGAGGTTTTTGTTTTCCTGATTATTCTGGTAGAGCTACTTATGGCAGTTGCTTCAAGGAATTGCCTACTGTCACTCACATAGAGTACTTCATAGAGATTTGAAGCCACAAAACCTTCTGATTGATAAAGAAGGAAATATCAAGCTTGCAGATTTTGGATTGGCAAGGGCCTTTGGTGTGCCTCTTAGATCATATACTCATGAAGTAAGTTTCACATATAACCAGGGTATTTGCTTTACTTTTTAATATGTAAAGTTTTGAATATATTATGATTATTATTTGTATATTATAGCATATGGTTATTTATTGTAATTAGAAATATAGTAGTAGTAGGTTTTCCATTGTGTTCGATAATGGTTATATGAATTTTTGATCTGATCTCATCTCTTGAAGAGCATTGGTCTCAGACCGAAGCGTGATGCATATACTCTTACACAATGGGGTCATGGAAAGTCTGTTGAAGTAGGTATAGTTTTCTGAAGCAGTTCTCATGAAGCTTCACACTGCTGCTTTTTTTTTGTTATTTTCAATTGTTTGCATTCAATCCTTACGAGAGACTGCCATAAAGTCCTGTCTATGGCAGACTGTTCAAGATCTTTTGGTTTTCAACTGTAAAGCTGCAGATGGCTTTTCATAGTTCTTGTAGCATTTGCATTCCTGTTTTTGTTTCCCTTCTTTCAGTTCTCCTTAGCATATGGTTATTTATATTAATTAAAAATATAGTATAATATGTGTATTACATAAATAATACAATTATTTTTAAACTTTCTTCTTAAAACTGGAGAAAGCTTATAATTTGTAATTTCTGTTAAACATAATATGTTAGAAAACAAATTTTTTCCCACATTTTTGAAGGCCACTGAAGATTTTATATAAAGCTAAGAGTTTTAAGATTTGGTGCTTGTGTAAAATAAATTAATTTACCTATATTGTAAATTGATTTAGCTAATTATGTTCAAAAAAATATTCTAAAGGATATCCAGCAAGGAATATTACAATAACATTGCTTTTTAAAACAATTTAAGCTTACTATGCATTTTTATTTTATTTTGTCAGGTTGTCACTTTATGGTATCGTGCCCCAGAGATCCTATTAGGAGCAAAGTTTTATTCTACTCCAGTTGATGTTTGGAGCATGGGCTGTATATTTGCAGAAATGGTTTGCTGCTTTTATCTTAATATTCAATTCTATGATCTTCATACATAATATTTAATAAGCCATTTGATAAAGGTAACTTATATATTTAGGTTATCTTAAAGTTCTCTTATTGTGTGTCCCCAGTAAGTTTATAGACTTATAAAACTAAATTTCAGGGATCAGTTGCCATGGTGTACAGAGTACCTCTTTGTGCTGAAACCAAAAACAAAATTTTGCATATTTTTCTGTATGGTTTGCATACATACAGCATAAAATACATGAAAGTTTCTTTATGTTTAGTTGGTATGTGCATGCATTAATTATAGCTATTTTGAAATAAGTTAGCACTGTGGGCCACACAAAGAGAATTTTAAATAATGTCCAAAAGCTTAGGTGCTTTTGAAAAGAAGTGTATTCTTCATAGAGAGCAGATGATTAAGAAGAGATTACATTTCAAAAATGCTCAATGATTTGGACTTGTTATTGAACGTTTATTATCTTCTAATCATGGGTATATTCACTTGAGACAGACTTTACAGAGTATATTAATATAACTGTTCTCTTGCATCTTTATATACTTGATCTTTCCTGCTTGTATTTTGACTATCACATATCACGTTTATGATATTTCTTGTTCTTTTTTCAAGTTTATGTAGCTGTAGGTGGTTTGGTTCTATTTCTTATGCTTACATCGTTATTAAGCCACTTTGCTATATTACATCATGCTACGCATGAGCTAGAAGGAAAAGTTAGCTTGGACCACAATTGAACCATTTCCAATTACATTGTGCAGATCATGTTTTGGCTCTGCTTACAGCTTGAGAAACAGCAATTCTGGATCTCTTGTTAAGTTCTTTTAGAACTTTGAGATTAGTGTTGAACATTTTGTTTCAAGTTGAATGTGATGTGTAATTAATTAAGTTTTCCATGTCAGTGACTCAGACAGGCTTGTGTTGAATATGAAATACTTCATCAATTTTTCTTTTGAAGAGGGAAAATCTTTGAACCAGATGTAGTTTAAGATAAACCTGCACCACAGGCTTAATGCTAACACTAACGGGGCCAGGGACTAATCTTCTATAAGGCTTTTCAACTTACAGTTCCACCACTTAATCCAGGTTTCTTCTGCTCTGACAATTCTGTAAGGACTTAGATAATTACTTTTTTCCCTGTGAGTCATTTTAAGTGTAAAATCCTTTCCCAGTGGATCTCCCGGGGTGTGTGGGGGTGAATACATATAATTGAAACATAACTAATTTTACATAAAACAAAAGTGTTGTTGTGACTGCATTATTTACGCACTCTCATTAGTAGAAAGACGTAGTTTTGACATTTGTTTCATTTGTGTGGATCAGAGCTCTCAAAATGATCACTCTTAATGGATTCAGCAAATACTGAAACTGATTGTTTTCTAACTATCTTGTTTTGGGGCTTCACAGACATTACTCCTTGAATAAAACATATGTTTTATACACTCAGTGTTTTACAACCTTTTTTTTTTATATTTTAGTATGTTGTGTTATAAATATAACATTTAATAGTGGAGGGGGGGGGCTCACAAGCTTGAATTGTAGCAAAAGGGGGATTTGTGATAAGCAAACGTTTGGGTAACCCTTTATTTGATGGAGCTTTTGGAACTAAATGTTTTGTTATAAGAAGTAAATTGTTCAGCACACTTTAGTTTATCCTGCATTAGGAAGTGTGTACTTTTTCAAAGTTGTCATCTAGAGTGCCTGAAACCTGGAGATTGTCCTTAATTTCATTGAGATATTTTTTAATTTATTTGGATCAGTTAGATTAGTTTTAGTGAGGGATCAAAGAATTGAATTTCCACTTTTTCTTCACTAGTTTTGAATTACTGTAGAGACTGGTAGTTGTACCAAAATCTTTTCCTTCAGATTTTTCAGACATCTTTTTCTGGAAGCATCTTCAGTAAATTTTTCAAACTGTTTATCATAATCTTTGTTGTTTTTTCATCTGCCGAACAGTTTTTTGAAGGTTTCAATCAAATAATGATTCAAAGAGAGTTAATTAACTGTAAGTAAATCGATTTTTTTTCCCAAGAGTCCCCTATGATAATTCTACCCAATATTTGATTTCGTGTATAGTCATACTTTAAATTCTTATTTGTTATTTTTGGTAGTTTCCTCTTTATAATAGAGCATAGTTATTTCAGTAGAGGGTTTTTATGGTTTAATTCCAGAAGCATTTCCATTATATATTTAACCTTAGAATGCCATTGTTAACTTTTCAGTCATTAACACAAAGGTGATATGGGGTCATAGTGACTCCACGCTGGTGTTTTAGGGTTAATAATACTGTTTCAGGTATTTACTTGTTCTTGTTATAGTCTTTCTGAACCTTTACCTGGAGGTAATCTGTGATAGTGAGTTTACCTTGGTTTATGGTGTAGCACCCTTCTCTGGACCCAATTGCTTGTGATTTTCAACAACAATTCCATAACCTTTCATTTTAGCCAGATATCAGCACAACAAACTACAATGACTTTTTTTCAAAAATCTCATAATGTTTGTACAAACGGATCAGATAGAAGGTTGGCTCCAGCTGTTTTTGCTTGAAAAGATCTCTCTTGGAGTTGGAAGTCCTAGAACTTGTTTTTCCAGTTGACCTGGTTTGTTCAACTTCTGTTGAATTTTGCTGATGCCATTTCTGAACCTTGAGCACTACAGTTACAAGACTTAGAAATAGAATGCAATAGAATTCTCAAACCTGAATATCCCTGTTTTTACCTCAGGTTTTTAATAATCACACTTTTTCATTTTTAACTCGGTTAAAAATATGGGCCTCTTGTTCCATCTATTGTTCAGGAATTTTCAGTAGTGAAAGACTGTTTGGTATTTCTGATTTTTCCTTTTTGTACTTGTCTCAGTTCCCTTTATGTTTATGAAGATGATGGTTCTGTCTAAGTCTCATTCAAACCGTATTCTTGGGTGGCTTGTTACACTTCAACAAGTGAGAATCTGGTCAAATGGTGATGGTTCTGTCTAAGTCTCATTCAAACCGTATTCTTGGGTGGCTTGTTACACTTCAACAAGTGAGAATCTGGTCAAATGGTGATGGTTCTGTCTAAGTCTCATTCAAACCGTATTCTTG